TACTGAGCATCTTTCTCTTTGACACCATGTCTGAAATCCCACGTGATCTGTCAAATACTAATGCATGAAAATCCTAACCTCAAAAAAATCACCCGTTAGCTTTATTTACGTATGTACAGTATCGGTCATATCAATTGCACCCCATTTCAAAGNTCATCGTTCCATCGTCTGCGGTACTCGCCGTCGCCAACGTGTAAAGGCCCGTAAACCTTCCGCAAAATCTTTCTCTCGAATGCTCCAAGAGCCACCTCATCGGATTCATCGGATCAATTGACTTTATTTCGCACCAGTGTTTTGTGAAGTCGGTTAAAAATATTGGAAATTAAAAAAAAAATCACTGCATAACTACACATTTCGGGTGCTCAGTTATAGCTTTATTTACGTATGTACAGTATCGGTCATATCAATTGCACCCCATTTCAAAGTGAGCTTGTTTACCACTTTTGTTTATTTTTTAAATCTGATTAAAATGTCGAAAATTTTGTTGAAAAATCGTTGAACTGCATATCAGGCTTTACCATAAACATTGCGCGCTTTATTTTGCAGCGACTTGACAGAATAAATAGGTATCCACGATCGTCAACAAATATAAATTTTCGACATTTAAGGGAGTTTCGTCTCTTTAGCCTACATTGAATTTCTGTAGGCCAACGATTCTCACCCATTTTGTCTTGTTGTCGCCAGCGAATACAGAACAAACATTTTTTCAAATTTTTCGTGTGCACTTTTCCACAAAAAAAAAACGTTCGAAAACCGTAGTAGAAAGCGTAGCAAATTTCTTAAGAACTGCGTACTGCCTCAATCAAATTTTACACAAGAAAATTCCTTAGCCATTTTTTGTACATCATTTTATATGGACTATTTGCTTTTCTTCAGAGCTGCATATTGGTCTGAAAAGATACAAATTTCACTAATAAAAATTTTAAATGTTCCTAAAACTTGCAAGTTTGAATTTAACTTTGCAGTCGGCACATACTGATGTGTCTATTGCATTTATGAATGTCTTAATGAAAAATACCTTCCTGAAGGAAAGAAACGCTATTCATTTTGTCGACTGGGTTCACTCATGCATGTGCAAAAAAAAAAAAAGAAATAAGCTCCATGTGTACATGTGAAAGCACAAAATCTGTTTTCACTCGCGAGCTCAAGGGCTGCACATACATGGTGTAATGAACATCATTCTTGCTGCACATATGTAGTAGGTGTACATATGTACATATATACATCAATATGCATTACTTAACAAAGCTAATTACTGTTGAATAGATAAAATGTCGCATCAGCCACAAGGTAAATATGTATTTAGACCCGATTGTGTATGATTTCCAGTTAGTTTGAGCAGTTTATATGTATCGGAGATACTAGGTACTATAAAAACTCGTACTTCAAACTGTATACGATATTAGTTCTAAAAGGTTGTAAGAGTGTAACTGCAAAAAATTTTTGCAATGTCAAGTAAATTGAGAACAATTCCATAATTGAATTGCCATGGTTTTAGATAAAAATTTCTTTCAGTTGTCCTACAATATGTCGTCACTTTGTTGGCGGTAACTTTTTG